GTCAGTGATCATTTTTCTCTTGCGTCTATTGCGCTTGCATTTTTTACCGACCTCAGTATGGAGCTTACGTCAGCTTCTCTGCTTGTTTTGCACCTCAGTGCTTTCAGCACTTGGCAAAGTTTGTTATACGGTCCTGGTCATCTACCAGTAGACCAGTCGTGTGATTGACGGATACCAGCGGGTCGATCCACACCTCACAGACCCCCTTTAAGGTAGAATGTAAAAGCAGTTGGGAAGTGCGGTTACGATTGAGTCCATCTGCCGCAGCTCGATCGTTTCGATCTAAGGGGCCAAGCGAAATAAATACTTTAAGCGTGGTTAAACGGATCTGAAGTTAGCTTCTGAGGCTTCAGTATAGACCATCTGACCACCGTATGTCTGTCCCTGGTTGTTTGCCAAGTGGGCCTAACAAACAGAACCATGCTTGCAAGTTTTTTTTGCAACATGATGACTACGAACCAATGCCACAGTAATTTCGGTCACATTCTTGGTGAGGAAGCAGCTGACGAACGAGGTGCTGTTGCAGATCTATTCTAGCATCACCACCCGTGACTCAGAGGCTCTATAGGCAACTGCATCTCTGATTATGGCTATATCTGAGATGCGACTGGTGCGTGGACAGACTTCAGAAATATCAGCTGTTTCTTCCTTGCCTCCAATCGGTTTTCCTTCTGCGTTCTTCTTTTTTATTCTTATTGCGCTCTCAGCACTGTTGAGTTCACTTGACCCATTTTTCCCATTTATACAAGCACTACATGTGTCTGTTTCTACCTGAAAGCTGTTACGCAAAAATGCTAATAAAATAGTGCGAGCAAAATGCATGAACCTATGAACCTATGCAACACGTATGTACCTTTCGAAACGTTGCCAAGAAACTTCCTTTGGTTTCTTTGGAAGAGCTACCGAATGCCTGAGAATCAGTCATCAAAACTTACTGAATGCAATCAGTTGGTTAATGGTCTTTGCTTCACGAACTATCCTTCAAACGAACCAAATTAAAAGTTTAAAAGGGATCATATAAAATCCTTTATATAGCAACGATTCGACGGCACACTCCATTGTCTACCTCAGAGTCATAATATACAATGTCCTGATGAAGAAACTGGAATGCGGCGTCGACGGCATATAAAGGATTCTGCACAGTCCGTTTTTCAACTGTTAATTGTTCCGTTGATCGTTAACTGTTATTCAAACTAGCAACCAGTCGATACCTCATTCCATACCTCTTTGAGCATTCAATTAATGAACTTGTGTCGGTGCTTCACACTGCTGAATGATTCATATGCCATGTAGGTAGGGAGCATTCTGGTGGTCTGTTGGTGACAAGTTGGTTTTGAACTTTGCAGGTGTCGGGTTCGAGAATCCAAAATATTCTACTTACCAGTAGTTCCCTTGAGCGAGGATTCACACCACCTCATCCCATCCCACTTTGCTTCGGCAAAATCAGCCGAGGAACGTACTTGCAAACCACAGAGATAACTTGGTACTCTGGTACGGTCATTCAAGAGCATGTGAGATGTACAACCATACTGTATGATACGAGTGCCTTAAGGTTGCAGTTCGCTTTGTCCCACCCACCTGGTGCGCTGATGACTATATTTCATGAATTATCATTACAATTTGTACATCCAGAAAAACGACGAATGAGCTTTGATGTTCTCTACTCACTGTTCCGCATGTACACGGAACAATCGTAACGTTCCATCACTTCTAGCATACAGGAGACCTTTTAAGAGTGACATGCATTCATGGCATTATGGCATCTGTATCTGTGCACACGGATACAGAATTTAAACACTCTATTGAGCCGTTTAAATTCAGAATAGTGACCGGAAATGTTTATGAAAAGCTGGCAGTCTGACACGGAGCCGTGTCCTGCTTAAAGGGTCTGCTACCACGCTAGAGGCGATGAAACTTGACGACTACGCCATGTCGATCTGTAGAATTGATATTGTTTTTTTTAATAAGCGATATTGGAACCTAGCAGCCCGCTAGGAAACCAGCAAAACTGGGGAGAGTTTGATGTAAGCTTTAACGACCGATACAGTGGTTATAATTTTTCGTGCAGGACCGAGGTTTCGGCTGATGTTAATATACCCTCCCCTCTCTTAGTTACAAAGGTAAAATATAACTACATTATAAAACTGGCAATATACTGTTTTTTGCACATGCACTGGAGCCTTGGATGGAGCCTTGGCGTCTTTGAATACTACTCTAGGCTACTTGAAGCAACGGGACAGTGCGACACTGGAGCCTTGGCGTCTTTGAATGCTACTCTAGGCTACTTGAAGCAACGGGATAGTGCGACTACGCTGTACGAATCCTAACCAGTGACCGGTGATTGTGATTCTTGGCGACGGCATTGAAGCTAGCAGTTTGCTAGCAAACACATCATACGCAGATTCTATCTAAGCATACAAGATAAATAGAAGATACCGATTAGATTGAAGCTCTGATATTGATAGCATTTGCCGGCCATGTGGAATCCAAATCGTACATCTTGTTCGGACATGTGCATTGAAAAAGCTTTCTGAAGCATCTGCACCCGCGTTGCAAATGAAATAGCGACTTTTGAAAGCGAATGAATGAATCACTGAATCAGAAGTCCATTTCTTGGAATCCACTGACACATAATTGAAAAATATTTCCAAGGATATGTAATACTGTATTTGTTCATTTCAGGTTCACAAAAAGCGCCGAATAATTGGCCGAGTCATATGCAAGAACTTTATTAAACAATGTCCTAAACCTGACTGCCCGAACCCAATCGCCTTACCAGGCCAGTGCTGCAAAACCTGCTTAAAGACAGGTATGTTGCGCAATGCTTGTAGGCCACTGATCGATGTTCGATGTATTCTGTTTAAATATGGTTCACTTAAGGACCGATGGTCATTGACGTTTTCGAGGACAGTAACGACAAAGGTGATTACGTATGGGGTGCAGGCTATCATGGTGCCATTGTAGAACGGACCAATTTACTTCCGATTTTAACAGTACACTTCAGAGTTCATGGCGCTGATGACCGGTCGGTTCCGGACTCCGGCCGTGATGACCGAAGGCATCGGAAGAGCATACATCACTTTGGATGGCAGCCGCATCCACATTTCGGTATACACAGAAAAGTGAATATTTTGGATGCGTGGATCGATGCCATTCAACCGTCAAAGGTTTCAGGTTAGACGAATCGCCGCTTGCCATACAAGTGCTCGACGGTCAAAACGCAATCCTGTTTGAAAAGTCGATTACCGGCGGGAACATGGAGAAACCGGTAAAGAGCAACAGGCCTCGATGTTAACTTTTACGCATGACAAATGCATTTCACGCAGATGTGCGCTTTCTGGTCTAAAGTGCCGAAAATGTACATCCAGTCTCTGAAGAAGCACGAATTGCAGATCACGTTGGTCACCGAGAAACAGCCCGAGGGTGTTATTGGCGGTTCTATTCGCAAGCACAAGATTCTCCATCGAGGTCGGTACTTTTGTGTCCGTCGACCGGCTTGCCGCTGATGCACCTGCCGTCTGTTTCAGAGACCTTCACCGGCCTTCTGTTTCCACACGGCGTCTGCTGTTCCATAGTCGCCGGCTACGGGGCCGTGGTGGCGGTCGAAGTTCAGGGCAGCAACGCCGAAACGCTGCATATCGTAGGTTGGCTGAACGCTAATCCGGGTGTAGGATCTGGTAAAACTATTTCAGGGCCTACTTATCGTAATCATAACGATTGAGTGTAGAACAAAACAACAACAACAACAACAGCGACAGCGACAACGGCGTCGTCGTGTTCTTCGGAAAAGACGGCGGTCGACAGAAGCAATTCACCTCATCGAACACGAAACTGGTCTCCAAGGTATAATTCTTCTGGCACTTCGTGCGGTACAGCACGCCACTAGACATACTGCGTTTTCTACCTCCTCCTCCATCATCGAATTATGAGATGATTAGGGTAATGCGATTGAAGACAAGTCTCGTCTCTTTGCCTCGGCAAGATTTTGATACATGCCTTCTTCAATGCTTATAAGTTTTAACGGCGGCAATTTTGAACTAGTGCGCAGTAAGAAACTAATTAGTTATCAAATTTTCAAATTAATCATTTCAAATGACTAATTGATTAAACACAATCACTGAATACTATAATAATGGTAAAACATAGCTTGTTTTTGTTGCATGAGATAACTGACTGAAGTCGGCATCGATTGACGACTCATTATTCGGCGCTTGTACAGTTTTTTACCCAGGACATTGAATCAAACGAAACTTTGCTCTGCTAAGATGGTCGATAGAGTTTTGAATGATTGCTGAAACTTAATTTGGCAAATTTTCTGCGGTGTTTTTGAAGACAGCTATTTCTACCTATAAAACAATATAACTTGTTTAGGAAGAATAAGCTTAAACTTTTGTTTTTCTTCAATTCCTCCTTTCACAAGCCTCAATGTACCTAGTTTTTTTAATTGCACAACTTTTTTGATGCTTTTTCAACCCCTGTTTCATCATAGACTTTTCACTTGAGGATTCTTAGGATGGTTTTCTAAGAGGAAACTAGAAAATTCTTTCGCTTATGGAAGCTCAATGAGATAATGCCCTGGTTATTGGAGCACTCCTTATTGCCTCGCTTCTTCAACAGAGACACCACAACCCCAATTCTTAGTCCACAGGTATCTTCCCCATAGCCATTGCAGTTTGACAGGCATATGTTAGCTACAACATACTTTGCTCGCTTAAAGCTATAGGCATTTCAGGGAAGATTTCATCGAGTCCAGCAGCAGTTACTTTTCAAGCCTTTTAGAAATTCGTTGATTTCATCTGCTGAAATGCTAATATCCGTTGCCCTCCTGTGGTTGCTGTGGGCTAAACAGTCCCTCAAAGTACTCTCGCCATTGCTGAAATATATCCTTCTCCTTGGTCCGATGATTTGTTTTCCAGGACTCACAGATTGCCCTTTTTTACATCTCGGAGGCGATGAACAGTTTGCCAGAATACTCTGTTTGCTGCCAGGAAATGCGACTCCAGCAGCTCACTGAAGTTTTTAAAGTTTTCTTAGGAATCAGCCTTCGCCTTGACCACCGTTTTTGCTGCCACCCTGCCTATTTTTTCATACCACGTTTGAATTGAATGCGTTTTATTTCCAAGCCACCTCCTGAATGCAGCCTTCTTGCTGATAACCAGTTGAACCTCTGGTGTCGACCATTAAGTTTGTTTATGAACCTCAAACAGCAGGTAAACTCGTTTTAATCAGCAGCGTTCTGCAGCAGCTCTGAACTATCAATTCCTAAACAGATTCCACTCCCATCACTGGGATCTGTTCAAATCGTCGCGCGATGTCGTTAACATGTTTCGCCTTCATATCCGCAGAATATAATACTTCCTATTTGATTCTCTGGTTGTGCTTGGCGCCAGTTCTTTGCTTGATGATGCTAACATCAAGATGATGATCGGTTGACAACCCTATGCCTCTATAACATCCATTACAGAGCGACTAAGTCAGATGGTGTGATTAACAGGTCGGCCATCGAACTCTCTGCACAAGCTTCCCTATTTTACGTATATTGATGAATGTTTCTTTGTTCGTGGAAAGTGTTCATGAATTAGTGCTGCTATTGTTTAGCTGTTGAGGTCACTACGGCTGTTCTTTCCAATCACGCCTTTCCACCTATCAGCCTCCGCTCTGACATGCGCATGGAAATCGCCCACTGGAACAACGGATTCCGTCCTCAAAGAAGAAGTCATATTCTCCCTTTAAATTGGACGCATAGATCTAACATTTAACAAAGTTAAAGCTTTAGCCTGTTGTAGCCTCGGTCGGAAGATTACCACTTTTCCGCTGAGAGTATCCTATTCGATGATTCTGTTAGGTTGGGTTCTACCAGAACACCAACAACGGCCTCACCGCGTGCTGTGATGTCGACAGTTGAGTAGAATAGCTTCCGTCCACATAGATTCAGAATTCCTGAGCTCTTGTATTTCATTGGCAGAATTTCAATTATATCAAGTTGGTAACTCACGGTCTCATCAGCTAGCTCTTGTTGTTTCGCTCTGAGTGAGGAGATATTCGTTTCCGACTATGAGCTCCTACTGTCAGTGTCTTTTCCGTGAAACCTTATCTGAGATCCCATTCTCGCATTAGCATCTTCAGTTCATAAAGGTCCCGCTGCTGAGTGATATTTTTGTCGTCTTTTTGTCACTCGCTGTGCTGCTATGCCCCCAGGCTATCAGGAGGCGAGAAACAGCTTCTGATTGAAGACTTTTCACAGCCTGCGCGGTCGTTGGTAATCCGAGCGACGGCTGAGCCGGTGTAACGTTCACTACTGAGAGGCCTCCACATGTCCTCACCCCTCTTCCTTTCTCGTGCAAACTTGAGATGGGCAATGGCTGAGTTGCGGTGGAAACGATAAGTGGTAAATAGAAAGTATCTAAGGAATGTCAACTTAAGTGCATGACGCACTTATCACGAGGACAAGTCAGATAACAGATAACGACTTATTCAATTACTTACTGGCTTTCTTATTTACTTACTTACTCAATCACTGAATTACTTAGTTTCTATTTAATTGGCTACCCAGCTTTTATTCAATGTCTATTTGTTTACTTACTGATTTACCTATTCACTTATTTAGGCACTTACCTACCTGTCTTCTAACTTACTATCGTATTCACTTAGTTACCTACTTACTTGCTTACTTATAATTTTATTTCCATGCGCGAACTAGGCATGTACTATGACTAAGTAAATACTTTCCCAATCATTTCTTATCGATACTCACTTTCTCACCTACTTATTTAATTGTATATTTTCGTACTAATTTATTTGTAGATCTGATCCCTCATGACGTATAAACGCTTACGCAATACAGACATTAACATCAGCTTTTTCTGGTGCCCGAACCATGAATCATCAAATTCATTACAGCTTCGTTGCAAGGGTTTTTAAATTCCTCTTCTTCATCAAACTCATGCTTAGTGCCAACTGGAGGTTCCACAAAGAATGTTTCCCTTGCTTAATGAATATCATGAATTCAGCGAAACTGATGGCTCACATCTACCTGGTGGTAAACTGCTTCTCATTATAATCGATATTCAAAATTAGTGACAGAAATTCAAAAGCAGCATTACAGAATTTATTATCTGCCGATGCATAATAATTTTAACCACTGATGATTGACAATAAAGCCATGGGTATTTGATTTGATAAATCAGTACGTTCGCTGTTCAGAAATTACGGAAAACCGTAGCCATCCCTGTTTAAGCAGTCAGTAGACCGTAGGTTCGAGCCTACAGTCAGAATGGAGGGTCGATCAGGTCACTCGCCTTTCTTACTTCCGAGATTGATAAATTAATATCATTTTGTGGAAAGCAGGAAACTACATGTTACATTGGTCACTCAGCATTTGAAGAGCAACAACATCATGCCTGCACGCTGGCAAAAACGGAGATTTGTATGCCATGCTCAATAAGTTTCATAAAAAGAAGGGTACGCACATGGCGCCCAGACATGAAGCTGTGAGGAAGGATTTTTTTCCATTTGTTAATAACCGCACCACCCAGAAACCATTGAGGATGATCGTAATCGCTTTATGAAGTTATGTGGAAAGCAAGCAACGTCAGTATCAGCTGCTCACGGCAAAAACGCTTCTTCGTAGTCACGGCTGTTAGTATAAATTACTCGCGATTCGAGTCGTTGATCAGTTTCTGTCCGTTTTTCGGTACGCAACGAACGCACAATCAACGGCATCTTTACCTTCATTAACCTAGCCCTTGACAAATATCTAATAGCAACCAAGCTCGGAGGGGACATTTGTTTTCCGACTAGATTGATACATGCTCCATCTAGGCTGACTGCTATATACGGTATCACAAAACAAGTATCGATCATGAAGTAAACAATGCCTTATAGCAAATGTATCGTATAACTGGCTGGAAATACAGTGGACATCACAAAGAGACGTTCTACTAATGCAAAGGGCTCAAGGCAATAATCACACAAGCGTTTGCGTTACAGCGATATGAATTGGTCTTACGGTTGGGCCTGTTAATCCAAAATTTGAATTCATAGCTGGTTTGTAGCTCTGTCTATAGTTTTATTCGTTAATTTTAGTTTGATTACAATTTTTCTTTTATAACTTGGGCATATTATTTAATTGACGCTAAGATGCATCATTGTTTGGCAATTTTCTCCATGTAGTAGAACTTTCGATTTGTAAAATACATTTCAATTTATTGCTTGACAAAGATTGCCAAAAAAAATTTTTATAGCGATTTGTTACAAATACCCACACGTGGTAAATCTACCACTCGCTTAGAGGAAATTTGTTTTTAACTATTAAGAAATTTACAGATATTTTTCGGTATGATAAATAAATTTAGTTTTGACCTTCGTACGTTTATAATATGGATAACGTCCTGGAATGTGATAATTGACAAACAGTTACCCAAATCGGATTGCATTACATGGCATTGCCTCTCTACTTTCCGAACTGTATGAAGCCATCTGAGCATATCGTGGTTGTGATTTAACACATGCAGTATATATTTGAATCTCACGTAATTCGTCTTGCAAGTGTATTCCTTATTCATCGAGACATGGACGGAAGAAGTTAAAATTAAGATTAATTTTCGTTATTGCCCTATAGTCTCTAATGTTGTAGTTGTCCTCGTCTCTAGCAGAGTAACCCAGATTTATGACGTCCGATCATCAGATTTAGATTGATTTTAGGCAACGTTCACTGCTGCGATAGATCATATTCTATATCCACGTGGTTCTACTTCAGCGAGTTGTTTTCAGGTTTCTCTATTGTTTTCCATCATACATACTACCAATAGGTGATTCCAGTGCGAGAACAGTTTATTATGCATCTCCATTTTTTAGAACCTTTCTATCAGATCACGCCAGGCGCCTCTCTGTGCGCTGAGTTCTGACCGAGGGACGTCAGCACCTGGTGATCCGGTGATATTATCGCATTTTGAAGATACTTCGTAAGGAATGTTATCTGAAGCTGTCAAAACTAGCAAAATGATGTGTCAGAACTGGATAGGTTAGCAGACATAAGTGAGCACCGCGAATATGGCTTCTGAGTGGTGATCTTCGAGTCAGTTCTT